TGTAGACAATTGGACATCCCCTTACAGAAGGGTCACAAGGAAGAGACGAGCCAGTCAGGGTGCTGTATAGCACGGATGAAACATACAATTTTCCTCTTGCTCTTTAATGCTTCTTTCCCCCCACTATCATGACCTCAATTCTACCTTACAAATCAGATAAGACCAGAACGTGTACACTGCTACAGATAAGAGCCCACAACACAGAGAATCCAGGATAGATAAATCCCTCAGGGCCAATAATGAGAATAGATATACCAGGAGGATAAGTGGAAGGTGGGGGGCAGGAAAGGTGGACTTGATCACAAGGATCAACATATAACCCCCTCCCAGGGGGACAAACAAAAGAAAAGTGGGTGAAGGGTGACAGAGGATGATGTAAGACATGAAAACAATAATCCATACCTTATCAAGGGTTCATGAGGGAGGGAAGGCAGGGGACGGAGGGGAAAAATGAGGAGCTGATATCAAGGGCTCAAGTAGAAAGAAAATGCTTTGAAAATTATGATGGCAACATATGTACAAAATTCAAATATGCTTGACACAATGGATGAATGTATGGATTGTGATAAGAGATGTAAGAGCCCCCAATAAAAGTATTTAATAAAAAAAAGTGGGCTAAAGACATAAACAGCTCACTAGAAATGGCATTCAAATGGTTAACACGCACATGAAAAAACGCTCGTGGTCACTAGCAATCCAGGAGATCCCAATCAATACAACAATGACGTTCCAATGTAAAACTCAAACCAGGAAACAATGTTGGACAGGGTGTGGAAAGATTGGAACTTCTGTACACTGCAGTGGGGCCTGTAAACAAGTGCAATCTTTGTGGAAAGCAATATGGAGCTACATAAAATCAAATGGGGAATGGGAATTCCCTACAGTCCAGTCTGATGGCCATATACCCAAAAGAAGGAAGAGTGAGAACACAAACAGATGTATACATCCCATGTTCATGGAAGCACTGTGCACTGTGCACAAAAGCAAAAAATTGGAAATAACACAAAAACCCTTCAGTAGAAAAATGGTACATACACATAATGGAAGACTATGCATCATATGAAAACACTGATGAAATTATGAAGTACCTTACAACATAGATGCTGAGCCAAGTGAGTCAATAACCAAAGCACAAGTGTTGTATGAGTCCATTACTATAAAGACAAACACCAGGTCATGTAATTGTTCAATCTGGTTCCCAAACAAAATGGTTGTGCATCTGTCTAATGCTTATAAGCCATTTATTACTCCCTTACTTGTGAATCTTAAAAATCACTTCTTCAGAAGAGACCTCCCTCCAGCTGTCGGGGGGTAGGGACACAAGCAAATATTGCCTTTCATATGGTATTGTTCCACAGTCACCCCAAATTCATAGCTACTTCTATAATGGTGATCTGTCGATTCTAATGGGAATTCATGGCCAGAAGACGAGGACTATGTCTGTCTCTGAAAAGGTTATTTCTCTTTGGTTGGTAGATAAAATAAGGAGGGGCAGCTTACTCTTGGAGAAAAATGCTTCACATTGCTTATATAGACTCCCAATGGGATAATCTACCCAGGAGTATCTTGCAAATTATGTCTTTTTCACTAAGTTTATTTTCAGCCCTGATGACCCTGGCTGTGTACTATAGGGTACTTGGATTTTAGATTCAGTCGTTTTGAGGTGCACAGCACTCTTCATAGAATGCATCAGAATCATGTGATTTGGAAACCCCATTTTACCTTTTACATACCTCTTGCAGATCAAAGGAACTGAAACGCTCCTGTGGACTTGAAGTAGACACGCTGGATGTGAGACAAAGCGGGGGACTGGCATCCCAAGGTGATGGATTTGGAAGTCCGTGAACTTTCATTCAAGTCTCTTGCTTTTGAGGTTGTCCAATAATTTTAGATTACCATATACTAATTATTGTCTTACTCTCCTTGCATTTTGTGACACATCTCAGTCTTGCAGACATAGAATTGCCTTGTGAATGAGGGTGACTGAATTTTTTGCCTTATTCTAATCCTCCCTGCTTTCTTAAAGTGTTCGGTTATTTAAATTTTTAATGTATATAACTGAACATCCCATGTAGTTAAAAAATCTTAGATATATATGTACATTTTCTTTGGTTCAATAGTACTTTAAAATCTATACCATTGGATAGATTAATGATACTACTTTCAGAATTATTAAATGTCTCGTGGAAGTACTTAAATTATTTCTCAACAAGTTGAAAATACTGCCCCTAATATGTAAACTTTAGATAAAGAAATGGATTTTGAGCCACACGTTATCAGAAACCTTAATCTAAAGACAATTACTTCTTACAATATGGCCATGCTCATTAATTGCCCTAATGAAGTGATCACTGATGACATGGCTGCTATAGGAAATGTGGTAAAGAATTCAGATGGTGCCCAGGTATCAAAAAGATCAGCATCTAGGTTCTAGAATCTAGGGTCTGAAAGGCTGGTCTTAAAACAAGCAGCCATGTTCGTGAGGCTTGTATGTTGCTGAGATGCTGGAAACTAGGTCACTAGTATTTCAAATGTCAGAAAACGTCGTGGGGAGGGTCACCATGGGTTGGAACTTACTGGATGACACCTAACAATAACATATGGCATTTTGTATTTTTGCCAATATGTCTGTGGAATTTGCTATATTATTCGAAGACGCATATCTGGGTCAATAATTAAATTCATATGTAATTTGATAGTGACTGTCTAACACCAACCCAAAGATGTCAAACCCCCAATGCTAATATGTGCCATTCCACATTGCCCAGACAGTGTATGAGAGTGCTTATTTCTCCGTGAGCTTTCCACCAGGCTTGTTGTCAAATGGCCTCATTGTTCCTCCATTTCTTTTTCAGTGAACTAGCTGTTCATAGTTTAGTCTATTGTTCTATAATATGTGTGTATATCATTGAGTTTTTTCAGTACATCCATCTTTTGCTTATGTATTTTGAGTCATAGTTAGGAACATTTTTTTTCTTCCTCCAAGTTATAGAGAAATTCATCCACATTTCCTTAGAGTTCTTATTTGTATTTCAAATTTAAAACAAGCTCCTGAAGCTTATAAATCAGGACCGGCTTACAGACCAGAGTGATATTTACAAAGTGATATCAAACATTTCAGTGATCCATGAGAGGAAATTTTAATAATTAGTCAGTTTCATTGTTTTTCTGAACTCTTCGAAAGGATGTTGATCTGAAATCTTCTTGCCTGTGTGACAGAATGTCTCATTAGTAAAACAGAAACAATTATTTTTGAAATAATTTATGTTCCTTATAAATAAAGATTCAGTGTTTCAAAGATCTTGCCTTTCTAGGAGAAGACAACATAAATCATGATGACGCAGCCCACAATCCAGCCAATGAAAAGGAGAAGGGGGACCAGCAGGCGTGTGGATACCAACTCTGCTGTAAAAAGAAGGACGGGATACCCGATTAGGCAGGTCACTGTGGTATTAGCTCTTCTGAATCATGACAATAAGAGTAATCTGATATATCAAGATACATCTCTAATCACATCCAGATCTGATTATGATTTTGCTTTCTATAAAGGGCAAGGTGACCCAGTGTAAGCCCCTGGTATTTGGAATAGGGAGGTCTGTATTCAAGCCACACATGTGTCATTACAGCTCTCTCACCTTGGACAAGTCTGAGGTTAAATTTCCTTCCAGGTAAAGTGGGGCTCGTGAAACTTGTGATAGCTGCCTGACTGAGTCGATGGGAGGATCAGCTGATACAACATGTGGGCAAAGGCTTTGTTATGTCAGACCACCTCACATGTGAGGGCTTAGTGCATACAGAACACATTCAGGCATGTGTGCAATCATACATGGAGCTGTTGCTTACATGCAAACAATCCAGATGGACTCAGGTAATTCGCACTAAACTAACATGGAAGATGTTGAAATTATTCTTGGTCTCTATCGCTAACTCTAAATTCTAAATAGCATAAAAAAGGGAAATGCATCATGCCTTATAGAATTCATCTAGAGTATAGGAAGGAGATTTTTTAAAAACAGATTTATTGTACCCGCTGGCTACAGAGCCATGAATCCATGGGCAGTAGTGATGCAGCACACACGCAGAAGTACGTACATACAGATATTCAGCCCAGTGCCTCCTGTGTGTACCCTTATCTGTAAAGGGTAATTTTTCAAAGTATCCTTACTTGATTCTCACTTCATCTAAGGTTTGGTCTTTTAGGCACGCACACACACAAACACACACACACACAGGGATTCAATAACTGCACAGAAAGACATCCGGCAAGACCTCTGATATCGTTCTTATTGAATAGCACCATTTGATCATATGCTATTAGTTCTCAAAGAGAGTGCACACTCTGAATTGAACTCCTGTTACAATTTCTATCACTTTAAAAATGGAGTTTTTAAAAATGCTACTAGAATAAAATCATCAGTAGAGGAGACATTTCTAAAATTAGAAGGCACGGTTAGAAAAGCAAAGTTTCTGAAGTGAGAATGAACTTAAGTCTATTTTTCTTTCTTTCAAAAATGATGGCATTCCTCTCAACTTGAAACTTCCAGGGACTTTCCTTGGTTCTCCATATCACTGTGACCTTGGAAAAGACATTAAGCCCGAATGAAAACCCTTCTCCGTGCCTGCCATGTGGTGCTGCTTTAAAGATAAAGACAGCATTGTGCTATGTCCTTCGCCCTCATTTAGGTTAAAAAAAAACACCCCAGAAAACCTTTTTGTGGATTTGGACGTCATTACAGCTGAAGAAACCAAACAATGTTTGTGCTATTCATGTGACTAAGCAATTTCTCAGTTTTAAAGAACTTGAGAATTAATACTTCTATTTTAATTGAAAATACTTTATATAAGCATATTTAATGGAATTCTAAAACCTATGTATAATACAGGCAAATGGGAACGATATTATTTACTATTCCTTGAAAAGAAATACAATTAACTGTGCATTTATCACTGTAAATATATCTTGTCCTAGGGGGAGAAAACTCACTGCTATCCAGTGCCTCTATAAGATCGTGTGGAATGGCCTTTGTGGGTTTCAAGACTCTCGCTATTTCCAGAAGGAAAAAGCTTCATCTTTCTTCTGTGAAGCAGCTGATGATTTTGAACTACAGACCTTGTGATTTGCAGCCCAATAAGTAACCACTACCAGGGCTCCTCTAGAGGAGAAATGAGACCCAAATTCAAATCTAATTAATGGAGACACATTCATTAAGTCTTAAAACAGGACAAAGATAAACTATCTGGATGAGGGAGACCATCGGCACAAGGCCATAATTGTCTCTAAGGAGTCACAGAAATGTGGCTACTTAACGAGGACACGGAAAATCCAAAGAACTGTCACAAAATTATGATTGGTGGCAGATCAATACATCACAATTGCAGGCAGGGCTACAAAAGTGGCAATGGTACCATAATCTACACTATTGCAGATTAGAAAGGTTAACAAGATTGTTTCAGGGCTCCCTAACCAAGGTACTGAGAGTCTGAGTCATGGCTGCGTGACCCTGCTACCCCCAATCCCCATCAAGGGTACACCCAGGCAAGTCCCTTAAAACTAGGTTGCCCCCCTGGGCCATCTAGGGGGATAGTAGGAGTCCACATTCAGAAACACTCTGCCCGAGGTTAAAGCTTCTCCCAGTGCTGGTCATTGGTCCAAGAGAACTCGGTGGAGGCTGAATCTCTGTGGAAACTCAAACATGGACTTAAGGCTCATCCTGCAACCTGTCGTCTTCCACAAACCTAACCCTCACGATTCAAGCTCTCATCTGACCTGTGTTGGCGGTTTCTGAACACTAGCATCTAAAGAAGGGTTTTATCACAATCTGTAGCATTGTTTGCAAATAGCATACTTTGCATGTGCCACTTCCATGAATACCACGCACAAGAACAGAACCTCTCTTTAAACATGAAGAGCAACTTCAAAACACTTCTCTTTCTGTCCGGTTCTGAGTGTGTCCAAAGAGTTACACCTGAAAGAATTCGTAAGGGTTCAGTGCTCTGGTATAAGACCGAACAGGTTCGATACCTGGTACCACAACTCTCGGGCATCTGATGGTCAATGTCACCCAATGTCTGTGCCTTACTTTCTAGTAAATGAGTTATAATGCTGCATATCTCAGGAGACTGTTGTCAAGATTAACAGCAATGACTGTTGTAGATCTTGAACAGTTTCCTAGGCATAGACACACACACACACACACACACACACACACCCTCAGGGAGTGAGATGCTCTCAATCTTACCTTTTTCAGCCATTCCTCCTATTGTTGTGTGCGTTGGTTGGGCACAGCTTACCTCTTTGTTACTGTTAGGAAGCGGCTGTTTGAACTTTAAATAGAGAGATATCTGGAGAGGTGGCAGCTGCCTCTCTCCTGACTGCCAATTGTCTGCAGAGTGATGTAAGTCATTGGAAAACAGAACTCTGGCTCTAATTCATCTTATTGTTACAAAGAAAATAAGGAATACATGGCCTAAAAAATAAAGAAAATGAGTTAAGTAGATTTTTTATTTGTTCCATGTCTGGAAATGCACTGTTTGGGAGGTATTGAACTGTTAAATTCAAGGTCAGTGGTTCAAACCCACAAGTGGCTCATCAGGAGATGAGGTTGTCTGCTTCTAGAAAGATTGTAAGTCTCAAAAGTCCTACATAAGGACGTTTTGAGTTGGAATGAACTTGATAGCAGCAGATTGGGTTGTTATTTGTTGCAATGTCTTGAGATCACACAAAAGAAATGGCTAGGTGAAGGTAGAAAGATTCATGGAGGCAGGGGGTGGAGGAGTGGCATTGGGGCATTGCAATTACACAAGTTCTATCAAGACGACAGGGTTTTATAATGGAGATCTGGGGGCTTGAAATCCAACTCTGCTACTTCTGTAATGTAGGCCAAGTTGCTTAGTCTGGGCATCAGTTTGGTATTCTCTGAAAATGAGAATAATAACACCTGCTAATGGAAGTGCCTCAGAAATGAAATGGAATAGCTGTGTAAAATAGAGACAGCTCCTTATTTTATTCCAACATGACAAAAGACAAAATAAAAATTCAATAGTATCCTTTCATTTGAGACATTCCAACACTGGACAATGCTAATTTAACTGTACTAGAATCTGAAGCCAATAAAGAGGCTGTGGTATTGCCTAGAATTTTCATAAAGCAGTCATAAGCTTGTTGGTTGGATTTTCATAAAGCAGTCATAAGCTTGTTGGTTTTATTAGCAATGTACAAAAATGGGATGTTTCATTTTTCAAAATCCAACCTGGCTTCTGTAACATGGCCTCGTTAGTTCTCTAGGTTTCCACTGGGCTAACTTTGGATTCTGGTTCTGGATGAGAACTTTTTGGAGGGGGACCTGAGACCAAAGCGAAGTCCTGTTTAAGATTTCCCTACTTGATGGCCCTCCTCTACACGCTAAGTCTTGTCAGATCAAATGCATCTCCACAGAACTCCAAGACTGCTCTTTACCCAAATTATTGCTCCACCTCACTGCAAATAATCCATCCATGGCTCTGCATCCCTCACAGAACAAAAATCTAACCCCCTTGTTAGGCATCTGTTAAGTTACATCTCTATATTCTCCTATTCCAACATACCTCAACTACACGAAATGCCTCCTGCGACATGAATTAAGAATGTTTCCAAACATCTAGCCTAGAAGAGTATTTAATTTTCTTCCTCAGGTAATGAACCTATAGATTAGAGTTTCATCCAACAATCGGGCACGTGTATCACATGTGTAGCTCACTTAAGTTGCCATCTTGCTCTATCTCTTGTTTGACGTTGAGAAAAGGGCCTTGTTGTTTGAGGAAAGCAGAGGGCAAGGGAAAGCATGAGAGAGAACATAGAGCCTCTGAGGAACAAAATCATTCTCTTCTCACCTGGTGGAGCCTACCATTTAAAAAAACTAAATAATTATACATTGAACAACACTTAATTAAGAGCAAGAGAGAGAAGAAATGTAAGTATAATCCCACTTTAGAACTAGTAAAAACTTTTAACAAAAGAGGTTCAAATAAACAATCTAGCTAAAGATTTTTAAAGAGCCATTCAAAAACTAACTTCCAAAGAACAAACAAGCATTCTCACTTCCCTGCCTCTGAATCAATTCCAAATAATTTGTCTAGAACAGGTGAAAACACAAGGAACGCCATTGAGTTCATAGGAAGAATCGATTGCCTTTTCATTCCATTTGTCCTTGAACTTTTTGAAGCCCCCACAGAATGTGTACAAACTGTTTCTGGATTTTAAACACCCATTTCTATGACTCAAAATTGTCTTCTTTGATAAAAAAAATTGTGTAGTAACATATTAGCAGTTAACAGTGCAGGAATAGATTACTGTATAACCCATCATTTCTTTTCCTTACTATTCTACAGACAGAGAATTTTAAGAGATCTGATTCCGTGAACATGAATTGCCCTGCACTCAGAAAAGATGTCAATCTAGAAGTTCATTTCTTTGGGATCCAACCAGCAAGGTGGTTTTTGTTTTGTTTCGTTTTGATTACTTTATATGATTGACTCAGGGAAAGAAAGGTGTTCGTGAATAAACTGGACTCTAAAGACCATTACTTGACCTTTTCTAATCGGCCTCATACCCCAAGGCCAGCAAGCCTATTCCAGCTCATAAACACTCAGAGCCAAGCTCACTGGCGCGCGAGGCTATCTCAGCTCATAGTGACCCTGGAGGAAAGCGGGTCACAGTCTCTGCATTTCAAAGGCTTTCCCCACAACTTCGTCTTTGTCCTACAGGCGGTGTGTGGTTCCAGCAGCAGCTCAGTGTGTCTTGGCGACACCACTCCTTGTTGACCCTACGGATGACAGGGTCGAGCTCTCCTTAGGGGCTCAGAGACTGGAAATGCTGATCAATTAGAAATTATTGTGATTTTCAAATCTTACCCCAACCGCTCTCTCCCTGCACCACATTTCTGTTGTTAGCCCCCCTGGGGTGGGATGGGGGATGTTGTGCATCCATCATTGCCATCGGTTCCCCTCCCTCCCCTCCTCCCCCTACCTCTCCCTATCCTCCTGCCATCACAACTCCCATTCCCGCTCCTGAAGGAGAATTGTTTTAAAGGGAATTGAGCATGGTACATGTTCAATAAGTTTTCATTCAGAGATGGGTCCAACTGGCAGCCCAAGGACCCTGCCAGTCGCAGGCACCTGTGACTATTAGGCCCACCTTTTGGTGTTCAGGCTGGTTGGAAATTCAGACAGCCTGAGCAGAGCAGATAACAGGCGGGACCCAAGGCAGCTTCAGCACACTGGCCTTGCTCACCTGAGGAGCCTCCCCAGCCTGGAGCGGACACACCTGCACATCTCCCAAGCTGTGGCTGGCCAGCCTGGTATGGGCAGTTTCCAGGGCAGGAAACGCAATTGGTATCTTTCTGCACTGGAGAAAACTGTTTGCAGAGCAGGGAAAGGGTTTTGCCAGGAGCAGGTTGGTAACTTTAGGAAGTAGAGGACAGGCCTGTGAAGGTCTGCGGCTGCAGACCAAACCTCCGGGTGAACAGGCACCAAGACAGGGAGGGGAATAAGTGAAATGAAAGTCAGCAACATGTAAAAAATATTGGTATAATACATTTATGAAAATAACCTGTGGGGGTTGTATACTATGCAAAAAATGTACAATATTGGCACTGTTTAATCGAAAATATATACAATTATAAAATGATCTTAGCTAAATGCTAGGCTCACAGTTCATGCTTATACAGAGAATATGACATTGTGAAACACCAATAAATTTCATTATGCAGCCTTTCTCTACTCACCAGTAGCATTTTCATAACTCACAGAACAAATGACAGAGCATAGCATCATGAACAAATAAAGGCGAAGGGCCTCCAACATTTTCTGGTTCTATAAATGCAACCAGAGAAGTGGAAATAATTTGAAATAATATATTTTTTCTGTTCCTGGGACATGAGAAATTAACCCAATGCTTACCAAAATCTGAAGAATGTTTATTCAAGATGGTTGGAATTCAGTAAGAATCGTGTGCTTTGGAAATGTTTTAACTTGGCTTCTTTGTACGGAATCAACTTGATGGCAGTGTGTTTGTGTGACTGTCATCCCCACCCAGCTTCATGGTTTCCTTGAAAACTTACTACAGTGGAAGCCAGCGGCCGAGCTGCCACCAGAGGACCATAATTGGCTTGGGACCCTTACAAAGTCTCATTCCCAGAAAATTCTCCTGAGTTGACCTGGTTAGTGGTTCCCCAGAAGACACCACTTACAGAACTGTCATTATTTGACCTGACTTCGAGCTCACCCACAGCCCTGGTGGAGGAGCAGTTATGCATTCACACCCACCAGCTGTCCCACTGGAGAAAGACAAAGCTTTCTACTCCCATAGAGTTACCCCCTAGGAACCTCACAGAGGCAGTTCTACCCTGCCGAATAAGGTCACCAGGAGTCAGCATTGACTCAATGGCAGTGACATTGGTTTTGGAGTGTGAGAAGTTTCCTCTGGAGGCATTTGTTTAAAACAGAGGCAACTGTTTACCTTCATAGCTACCTGAGGCAGTGAGTAACAGTTAGAGTGCATGATAGACTCGTGAAAAAGCTTAACAGGACAGCTAAGGAATTCAACGCCCATAGGGACTAGACAGGCTTTCTGTAATCCAGATAAGCTACAAAGGTCACACACATGGATTGGACTCTGTGCATGCCTAGGCCTGTGTACTGTGTACATACTCGGGGAAGGCTTTACCGGGTCCTAACGTTGCATCTATCTCTGTTAGACCTGCAGAGACTGAGTGAAGACTCAGATAGAGTTGTCAACAGGCTGACTGAGTGTTAGAGTAACGCCCTTAACATGCCCCCAGAGCTGTGGCAAGGCCTGGAGATGTACTAGTTCCAAGCACTTAATGGAAATTCTCCCCAACTACTAGGGGGCCTCTGGGTTAACCAAGCAGAAATTTCAGTGGCCATATAAAATTTTTACAAGATTAATTCAGAAAACAAGCAAGCAAGCAAACAAGCCCAAGTAACACCAACGGATGTTGGGAAGGGTTAAGAATCTGACTTCAAGAGTTACTTTATTACTTAGAATATCAACTTTTCACCAAAAAGAATAAAAGACAAAAAGAAACAGAGCAAAAATAGGGCTGGATATCTAATTTATTAGAGTTAATTTATTATATCTAACTTATTAAATCATGAGTTTAAATCATCTATTTGAAATATGCTCCAGAAACTAAAGAAAGGATGAAAATAATCTTACCAGAGAGAAAAAAATGATACATAGAGAAAAAAGGGCAAAACAGATCTTCTGGAATTGAGTCTAGGGTTAATCGCTGTGGTCCTATGCTAGACAT